AAGGGAATGCCTTTGAAGGATCTGGCAAGGGCATCTTTTATTGTTTGCATTTGTCTTTCATAGAATCCTCCCCACCAGGGGGCTTGGGCTGCGTTAAAGTACCATCTGATTCTTTTGACTTTGTTCCGTATTTGCTGTTGATTAGCTTCAAGGAATTTTGGCCAGGCGCTTCTAAACGTAGCTGCATTATCTGATATGACTTTTTCCGGGATGATGTGTCTATGAATGTGCAGAATTTTTTATTTTGACACCAGCGGCAGAGTCAAATTCCCTGAGAAGGGAGAAATGGATCAAGTTTTCTAAAAATTGGCACGTCTCGGGACGCGCCTGGGGCTGTAAATTAATACCCTTGGTGGGGAAACAGGCGGGATCAATTAACTCGACAAAGTTGGCGTACCAACAATATCTTAACCCCCACCCAAAAAAAGGAGAACAACCCCCGGAACCGGGACAAACAGTTGTCAAATACGATGTTTTCCCTTTATCAGCAGGGGGACATCAAATCCCCCCTTTTCCGCAAAAACCTGGGTCATTTAACCCCTCAAAACTTACATAAAACCCAACCATCTGCTGGCGACGCGTCCCGAAAAACATTGTATCCTCTTCCCTAAAACAATTTATCGTCAAAGACCAAACCTTTTCCAAACTGTCAAGAATCACTAAAGTACCAGTATAAATCAAATTACATCTACAAGCATGTTTTCCTCTCCTTAATATATTTAAAAACCTTCAAAACAACCGGTCTCCGGGAACAACAAATAAGCCTTGTAAAGTTCAGCAAAATTGTAAAAGCCACCTGGTTTTTTGAGTTTAGTAATGAGCAAGCTTTATGCTTTACTTTTTGTGGTAGCGGACCATAAAAAAACAATGGGTTGAAGACCCTAAGGGACTTCTATAATGGGTTGGGAGGGACAGTAAAAATCTCGAATTTTTGGGCGGATTCCGGGGCTGACGACACAGTCAAATTCTTGCCGTCAAAGCGTTTGTTACGTTGTGAAATTCATACTTGCTAATTTACGCAAAAAACCTGTTGTGCATATTTGCGGTCCAAAAAACTGTTGTGAATATTTCTGTGCCTTGTGTTCTTGTTTTCTGATCTGTTTAACAAAGGGCTTGCGCTTTTTTGGGAGAGAATCCCTGGTCAGTTCGCGCACCTGCCAATTGCTGTGTTGGATTTATTTTTCTCATCTTTACTTGTCTTCAGAGAACCCTATTTTTTACTGACTTATAAGTACTAAATTAATTCCTGTCAACCTAATTATCCTAAACAGTACTTGCAAGGTGTACGGCTTGTTCCAATTTATTTCTCTTTTCAAATAAAACTGTACATAAAACCTGTAGCAGAGCGTGGTTGTGTCTACGTAAAAAAAAACTTTTTGCTTCCATTGTGCATACTAAATAACTCTTAAAAACTTACCACTTGTGTTGTTCTCTGATCCTTTTTTGTATTTAAAAGGAAAACTTATCTCGACTCTTGTGTAGAATCTTGCATATCTTTTGTGTTGTTTCCTGACTCCTCTCCTGAATTTTCTTGAACTAGAATACTCTTCTAGTTTTTATCAACTCTATCCTATCTTCTGCAATTCTTTGACCTTTCTTTTTTTGGGCATTCAAAACCTTATACAGGTACCTAAAAATTATCTGTTGTGTGACTTACTTCTAAATCAACTCTTCTTGCCTTGTCCAAAGAGCAAAATCTCTTTACTTTGTTGTTGTCTTTTACTATCTGTCCTTTTCTGTGTGCATTTCTGAATCCTTATAAACCCTACAAAATTCATTAAATTAGTGTGTATCCTTCAAATCTCTTCTCTTCCTAAAAAAATAATCTCAAGAAAAATGAGGACAGAAAGTCCGGTAACCCAAAAACCGGGAGTCCAAATTGTGGATACCAACACTCCTGAAGTATATCAACTGGTGTTTGGGGCCTTCGAATCCCACACCCAATCACTAAATCTTTTAGAAAATCTCTTATCAAAAGTTAGGTCAATTCAAGAGTCCCTCTGTCCAACTGAGTATCTAACCCTGAAACAGGGGGGATCCATACCAACTAAGCCAGATCTTTACTGGTGTAAAAAATTTAGTGTTATTTTATCCCTTAACTATCACCCAAGACCAAAAACTGGTAATATTGCAAAAGAAAATGTTCTTGAGAATATACCCATTTACCTACCTTCCCCAAACTTGAGAAAACCCTTGGGCCCTGTGTGGTCACTCCTTAATATATGTCATCAAAACATGGGTCACCCATCCCCTTCTTCTTCTCTTAATTTTATCCAACAAACTGAAGAATTAATTAATCTTAGAATCAGAGCAAAAGAAACCTCCAAACCATTTCCTCCAGAATCCTCCTATCTAAGTCTGCTACCCATAATGAGAAGAAGAAAGAATGAAATAGATGAAATTCAAGTCCAAGAGAAAAGAGCAACAATTTCTCCACCTGCTCATTACAGGCCAAACAGCAACATATATGAAGTGGCAACTCAATTGGGAAACCAAATAAATTCCACCTTGCCAAATGATGCTGCTTCCTGGTTATATTTAACCAGTCTTGGAAATGAACTAGCCCATTTCACCAGGCTCTTAATTTCCTTGATGGCTGACATGGACAGAATTCATCAATTTCAATATCCAATTACCCTCTTGACAAACTCTGAGGTTAAGACCCAATTGGAACAAATTATCAGGACTGAAAATAATCCTCCAACTACAGTTCTGACCCTTCAAGACTTGTTTGCTTTAATCAGGTCAAACCCTTTGACCATTGGTCACTTTGACCCCTGTGCTCAAGATCTTAAGGCAGTCAACACTTCATGTTTTTACAGGATCACAACTGTGGTACCAATTATCAGGTCCATTGACAAATATGAGCTCTTTAAAATTCATGCCTTGCCTATTGCTGAAGATACTTATATGGGAGCTCCTAAATGGAAACAAGCCTTTTTGAGGCACTCATATCTTTTATCTCAAGGCTCCAAACTTTATGGTTTAAATTCTCTTGATTTACCTATATGCTTAAATCAATTGGGACAAGCTGATTGTAGGATCTGTAGATTTAACAGACCTCCTTCCCAAGAACTAGATCCTTGTGTGTCATCAATTCAAACTGGAGAAAATGAATCTACAATTAAGGCTAAATGTCCTTTGAAGCAAATTAACACTCCTAGCAACACTGTTGTGCAGCTGGATAGTGATGAATTTGCATTTGTGGATACTGACAAGGGAAGGATCACTCAGTATTGTTCTGGCTCAAAGAATTCTAGCATATCTGCATCTGAAAATTCTTATGAATTACCTTACTCTGAGTGCAGCTGGATAGTGATGAATTTGCATTTGTGGATAATGACAAGGGAAGGATCACTCAGTATTGTTCTGGTTCAAAGAATTCTAGCATATCTGCATCTGAAAATTCTTATGAATTACCTTACTCTGGAATTCTTCAATTTAAGCCTAATTGTCGCTATACAGTTGACTTACCAGGAAAATGACTACACAACGGATTTGAACTCTTATAACTCTAATTACGCCACGTTCTAATACCTGCTGAGTACGGTCCCTAGGTAGTTTAAAGGAGTCTGTAGTCACTCGATGTTTAAGTGAAATCTCTGATGCCAATATAAATATACTAACACAGTCAGAGTAACAACGAGTAATAGGATGACACAGAACAAATCCTATGCTATGCTAAAATTCGCTATGTTTTACGGATTAGGAGATCCTCTCCTTCCAGGAGAACTGATGATGCTCAAGCATCTGTGAGGTTTATTCAATCTCCTACTCCTAAACCTGCAATTTATCCTAGATTAGAGATGGACTCCTCCACAGGAATCTTGTCCATTCGCTGATCACTTTCTGAAAAAGAATTCGGCTGGAAAAGACAAACAAAAAAGAGAATCAGAGGCCAGAAATTCTTTTTACAATTTCTCTTATTGCCTTTACCCATATAAAAACGCGGGTACGAAAAAATGGCACTCTCTTTGACGCGTTTTTAAAAACTTTTACGCGTTCAACATTTCCTTAAAAGGATTATTGTCCTCAAGGACCAGCTCTTCCTCCTTTTTCTCTTCGACGGGTTTATCCGCCTCTTCCAGCCCCAGCAGATCTACCACTGGTTAGGCTTCCGGATCCTGCTGATCCTCCGGCGTCAGCATCCGTACCAGTTCCCGCATGTACGATGACTGTACAGAAAAGACAAAAAGAAAAAGCCCCAAGCAAAGCATCAAAAATTATTGCATGCGCTGTTTTGTATTTACATGCTATTTGTTTACCTTGTCTAAATGTTGAAACTCTTGGGGATCTAGCCCTGATATCTGCATAATTCTGAGAGAAAACTTCAAATTCCTCATCATCAGAATCTAGCCCATTAAAAAATATATTGGGCATAGATCCTACTATGCATTCTTTAACTTTAGCTTTATCTAGCTTCAAAATTCTTTTCTTTCTCTATTTTTGAAATGCATGCACAAAAAGCAAAGCAAGCATAAAAGCAAAAGCATTGTTAGACATTTTATTAAAAAAGCAAAAGAAAACTGGCTAACCTTGTTCCTGATGAACTTGACCATCCAGACCAAAAAGACAGCCAGAGATGTGGCTCCAGCTCCCCCAAGGCCCATGAAGACCAGGACCATGGCCATCCACGGGTCCACGTCCGCCTTGACGTGCGCAACACCATGCTTGATGTTGACCGTCACCTCCGGCGTCAACGACGGTGCCTTGATGACGTGTGGCACCTCTTGGGCCACCACGACACTTTGCTGCGTTGAGGGCGGCGCCCGAACCACGAACGGCGTTTTGCTCGCCGGCACGTGGACGACTGCCAGGTTGGCCGTCGGCGCCACAGGGCGAGGCTCATCTATACATACAAAATTTTATTAATATCTGGTGAAGGAAATTTTTGTTTTGGTGTTGGTCAGGTGTTGGATATGTGTTATGATGTTATGTGTGTGAGTTGTGTTCTTGGAATGTTTTATGTCTGTGTGGAAAAGCTGAAACAACTCACCAACCACCGGCGGAACTGCCGCCGTCGAGATCTCCAGTTCGGGGGGCACAACCTCCTTGCACCACCTCCACGGCGTCACCACTCGATCCATCTAGGACCAACGTCCGACGCAGACCGTCGGCGACATTAGCTTCACCTCCTGACAAGGAAATGATGTCAACTCTGCCACACAACAATACTATTCCAGCTCACCTTCAAGTCCGCCTGCCTGACGCAGTCCAGGAACAGCGTCGCTCCGACGAATGTCACGCGGCGCCCGTAGCCGCCGGTGCCCCTCACCTCCTCGCCGCAGACGTCCCAACACACGAACGCCCCATCTTCTGGACCGCAGTCCGCCCCAGCAGCCGCAACACGAACGACCAGCAACACCAGAAACCTCAGGAACGCCATCTGTGAAAATTTCGAAAAATTGTTATTTCTGAAAAAAAATTTTTTTTTGGCACTCACTTTTCACTTGCTGAATTTTCTTCTTGATGAAGTTGAAGATCCCTAGTAACACAAAGTCACTCAGCAGCCAAACAATTCGCGAAACAATGTTTGAGGCCACCAGCTCCAGGAGACCCATCAACTTTTGTCGACTCCTGGAGACAGGAAGTCGTTAATGACGCATCCGCGTCCAAGACGAAAATCAAAAAGTTACGATCGGAAAAAATTTGAAAAAAATAGACTAAGCTAACAATGCTCACCAAAGTTAACCACCAAAATTTCAGGCTCAACGGATCATCCGTTAACAAATGGCACTCAATGCCAACTGAAGAAGATATTTCCATTCTTCCTGATCCGAACATCTGTCGGATCCATGCCTGATTCCTCCTGATGGATAGCAATAACAATTGCCATTTCCATAAAAGCCTTTATGGCCCCTGAAAGAAACAGCAACGGAAAATAGGGCACTGTTGCACTGAGTCTCGCACTCGGTTCACTTGTTTTTCCCTTTTTCTGCTGACTTTCACAAAAAGGATGGAACCTTTTTTTTTTATTGTGCGGGGTGAGTTTGTTATCTTAGAAATACACTAACTTACAGAAACCCTTTTTGGTAGTTTCAGAAGAAACCATTTAGAAAGCCTAGAAACGGAAATTGAATTTGATCCAGAATAAGAACTTGGTTCTTTTATTCTCGACTCAGTCCTGTAATAGAAAGGACAACAATATGTAAAAATTAATTTCAAGCACAAGGTCTTCAGCTTGTTTCTGTATGAGGCTTAGTTGAATGAACAAATTACAGAGAATCTTTCATGAGAAATCATATAAAGCCAAAATTTTATCTTGATTTTTGTGAATACCCCAATATATGCTGCGTGGTGAGTTACTGACTTAGACTACCAGCCAGAATCAGTGACAAAAAGTCCATACAACTGATGGGACTCAAAAAGTTTTATTATGTATTTATTTATTTTTTTGCAAGGAAAGAGCAACTACCGAAGTGACTGCATATGTTTCAATACAGCCTCTTCTACATTACCAACCATTCTCCTCGATTTCCCCGCGAAATACAGGTGGACCTCACTACATTCCGAAAAATCATGAAAAAACCTCTAAAACAGCACAAAAGCAGCCTGTTTTGATTTGAGTAAATTTATAATAAAATTTATTTTCAATTTTTGGCAAAAAACAAAGCAGTTCAATTTCCTTAGGATATATCTTAAATTCCGAAGAATAAATGTTTCCCATTTTTTAGAATTTTTGGAAAGGCCCAAATATCTCGAAACATTGTTCGGATATCGGGGCTGATTTTATATAGATTTCAATATCATTAAGTCTAATCGTCCGTACGTCGGGGTCCCACTTTCGTGAATCGGCGATAAATTTCTGCAGACCACCACCGATCCCCAGGAGAGATGCCAAGGTCAAAATCAAAACCTCAACTGACCCAAGATAATGAGACACCTCGACAACTGGTTGTACAGTATGTAAGATTTTGCCACGTCCTGAAATAGGCACTATAAATGTGGAAGGCTCGACAAGACATGGTCTAGGATTAGATTATCCTTCCCCATCTTTGAACCATCCTCTGGAAGTTTCGAAACCTGCCAGAAGGTTTACAAGATAAAAAAAAAAAAAAATTGCAGATAAAAAAAAGCTATGCACAGGTGCTCGACGCCATCTCAACACTTTCCATGAAGTGGTATATGCAGTACCCAATGAAGTACCTTCATTAATATTGTTGACACGTGCATCAACGCGGTTTTCCGAAGTACTGTACAGTACAGAATAATATCGTGAAAAAAATATTCGATTTTAGGTCCCTGCCCAAGGCTGCAATGCATTTACAATATTCCTCTGAAACGAATCGTTTGCTACAACAAATAATTTGTTTCCCTAGAGGCAATGACTTGGTCATACAAAGACATCTAACCATATCCCGTTTTTTATAGCTCAACGAATCAAATGTTCGCCGTCACGCCGGAAATGACAAATGAGCCCACTCACCAGAAAGATCCAAATCCTGGACCATTTGCAGCATTTCTCGGTCCTTGATCGAAGGGTCATGTCGGCCACCCTGGGCACCATGGTGAGGATGGTGCAACAGCGCATCACCATTTGCCGCGAAGGGGATATTCGCAAGCGACCCATACGACCGTGACCTGTCCTCTTGTCTGGAATGCGACGACAAGAACAAATACAAAATAAATCGGTTCCGGGCATTCGAAAAATTAAAAAAAAAGTTTCCACGTTAAATTCGGAACGGAAAGAAATCAGCTAAAAATCTGACGAGTAACAATCGCCTTCGCCTGACGAGAAACTATCGATCGCTTTCAAGCAAAAATAAATCGGTACTTTCCCGTTATCTCAGTACCTACTTTCCTGTTATTTCTGTACCTCATTCCTAGACCGCACTACCTACCATAAACTGCGAATTTTATTTTTCCGCATTCTGCTGAAACTGATTTTGGGAAGTGGTTCGGTAAAGTTAGGTTAGGTCAGGTTATGTTAGTTACAAATATATTTTAATTAACATAATTAACATAACCTGACCTAACCTAACTTTACCTAACCACCTCCCAAAATCAGATTGTACTTCGTGTGCCAAACTCAACAGTTATATAAAATAAGGCACGGAAAGTAGGTACTGAGATAACAGGAAAGTACCCAAAAATCCAAACCCACGGTTCGAAAAAGTTGGAAAATACTGTATTTACAGGAAAAATTTAATGGAATCTCTTGACTTTTCATTCCGATCGGGCCGCTTCTTGAATCGAAAACGGCGACACCGAAGAGTAACCTTTTCGTGAACGAACTCCGAATACGGAATTAATGTACTGCCAACAGTCAAAAGCTTTCGCAAAACAGATGCCAACACACAATTACTTTACGACTTTCAAAAACATCTTCATACAATGATGAAAATAAACACGATGGAATCAAGCGAGCAAGGAGAAAAAAATAAACAGTAACAAAATGTATCCCATGAATGAAACTTGTCCCAACTTGTCCAAACCCGAAAGAGCAACCGTCCCAACAGACAGGAACCCAACGGGTCCCCCCCCCCCGTGGAGAGAAGGTCATTCCTCTCGGAAATGTTAATTCCCCCCCCCCCCCCTGAGTCTCTTGCGGTATATAATGAGTGAAGTTCTCCTCCTCACCTAATGGAATACGAAAAGGCGCGTTCATTCAAGTGACCCCGTTTCTTGTAGATGCCCGAGCTGAACCCAGCATCGGACTCCTTCTTTCCTCGTCTACGCTGCTTCTGTGGTCGGTCCACCTGTCGCAGAATGAGAAGAAGAAGAAAAAAAAGATCAAGTTTCAGCCTTTTGAAGAGCTTCACACGCGGTATCGGACGGGCATTCCCTCGTAAATTGAAGTAAAACCTGTTTTACTGTATCACTGTTTTAGTTCACACTTTCTTACACTTGTACACCTGACATCCCAATATCCAATTAAAACGTGGCTTCTGCTTCGAACCCAACCTTCTTTCCCCGAGTTTTCCGCCCATGGATAGCAGAACTCTCAAGGACCAATCACATACACGGTCTTTTCACAAATCTTTCAAAAAAGTAGTTCCAACCATCCAAGATCGATGGGAGATATATGGGAGACTTGTTCTTCGGTGCTGGGCCTCTTGGGAAGGACCAGTTTTTGGGATGTACTGGGAGTTTATTATTATACTGTACTGTATATCCTTCTCTGTAGGCTCGAGTCAGACAATTTTCAAACCGATTATTGAACAAATAAATCAGTGCAATTTAAATGTTCTCTTCATGACCGGGAGAGAAGCAAAAAGTGCTTTGAACAAATTAAAATTCGCGTTGCAGCAACCTGAAACAGAGTTGTTATATATTTTTTTAAATAAATAATTCTTGTTGTGAATGAGCAGGTGAACAGCTGTAAAAAAAAGTGAGATCGTGGAAACGCTTTTCCGCAACAACGAATGATTCATGATCTTGAAAAGTGCACTAAAATTTGCATCAGACAGTCCTAAATTTCCGAATTTTGGATCTGGGAGTAATTTTTTTTTTTGAAGATACTCGGAGTTAGATTTCTGGGCCGTATTGTACAAGGGTTGTCCCAATTTCACGCGACCTCTGATATTTCTTGAGTAGGTGTGATTGTAAAAAAAAAAAAGTTCGCGCGACATACCCCATGATGTTCTAAAGTTCTGAGATTTTTTTATTTAAGAAATATTTTCAATCAACTGCAGGATGATAATTTAAAACTTTCCAGTGCAGACAGAGTTCTGCACCCATGTCACGGAGTGCTAAATGTGTCTGGCGAGGAAAAAAATTGGAATTTTGTTGTTATTTTAACCATTATCTTTCTACATTTTAGAATTTAGATGATTAAAAGGAAAACAATAATTTTTTGGCTGGACTGACAAATTTTAGCTCCCTGTCGCATGTGTGGAAAACTCTGGCTGTAACCGGAAAGTTCTCACTTATCATCATGCCGTGAAATTCAAAATCTTTTTTTTTTTTTCTTTTTAATCGGAAAGAAACCAAAAAGCTTAATCATGGAATACGGCAGGCTTTTTTTCCAACAATTCCATTCCCTCTAGAAAGATTGAAATTTGCAATTGAATGAAGGCCGCATCCAACTGAGACAACCCTCATATTATCCCCATCATTGCGTTGAACTTGAAACTTTCCCAAGAGGTATTTTTCACATATAATACACTTCCATTTCTCGATTCATCAGAGAATTTCTGAACTAAATTTGTTCCCATCCGTGCGAATACAGGGGGGGGGGGGACTCTCTCTCTACAACGAAATTCCAGGGACCAATAAACACATTCGTTGCAGTCGTAATCGATACCTATGGGCAAAAAAAAATCGTTATGCGAAGAAATTCGTGGTTGACAAAATCCTCGTAGAGAGAATCCACCTCCATTCGAACATCCTTATTCCCTTGTCTTCGAAAAATCCCTGCGGCCACCCAACGGGTTTTCCGCACGGAAAAAATGAAACAAAAAATGCTCTGCGGAAAATGAAAACGAGAAGACGCTGAAGAACCAACCGTGGCATAGTGGAAGTAGTAGTCCTCATGCGGGAAATGTCCAGGCTGATAGCTGGCTATCGGACTCATGGCTCTCGCCGAGGGCATATAAATCGGCTCTTCCATGATCCGCGACGCCGGTCTCCTCATGGGCACCATCATCATCGGTGGCGGCGGCGGAGGCGGCGGCGGCGGCGGCAACAACAACATCCTCGGAGGTGGACGACGGTCTGCGTAAGTCCCATAGACCAACGGGACAGGGCGCATCATCACTGGCCTCAGTCCACCATTGGCCGTCGCCGGCCGAACCGCCTTCTTCTTCTTCTTCTTTCCTGCGCTCGGCGGTGACTTTTCCACGTGTGGCGGTGGTGGTGCTGGGACCGGCGCTGCCAACTGCCTCGGTCGCGAAGACGCCATGGACCTGCAACCCCGAAAGACCCTCAAACATTACATGTTGCAGAAATAAATTCATTCATCCAAATTTAGAAACGAGGCTTTTGAAATCACTGTTTGCACCAAAAGCTTGTGCATCAGTGAGATAAGAACCTGGCATGAAGGTTTTCTGGATTCTCATCACTGAAGAAAAGTTAGGTTTATAAAAGGGAGAATATCTCAAGATCTGTCAATGGGGTCAATTTTTACATGATACAAGAAAAGTTGAAGAACATCTTTGGCTTCAATTTAAGATGTTGTGGAATTTTCCAAGTGTAAAATTCGCGGAGTTATTTGCTTCGGAAGTTCGCGTGTCGGGAATTGCGCCATAGGCGAAGCATCTTTTCTTTGCTGATTTTATTTATTTTTGAAAGCTAGTTTTTTATTGCACAATGAGAGATTGTATTTGCTGATTGTGTGTGTGATTGTTGTCTTCATGAAACCTGTGATCAGAGACAATAATAAGAGTCCTGTTTTAACATCCGAGGAGTGAGGATGCTCAGCTTCCCTTATTTTCTGCAGCCATGAAGTAGTTTTGTACTTTTAAAATTAAATTCCCTTAGAGGCTGGGTAACTGCCTCAGTACTCAGATTTCTCTTGCATCTGGAATATTTTTAATGCAGTTTAAAACTTGAAATAATTATGGATACAGAACTACATTGCTTCAACGTTTGTTCCCAATGCTAACGCTCGAAACGTTTCATCAAGACCAGAAAAACCAAGACAACCAGACATGACAAAAAGCATAATTGAAAATCAAAGGTTCCTGCATTTAGATTCTCCTGGGTTACAGAAAATTTAAGAGGGTTGATTTTCTCCTGCATAGACTCTGTTGGGGATGGAAGATCTTCTCAACACAATATCCATTGAAAAGTGAATCCTTTGAGTGAAAGCTAACGCAAAGAATTGAAACGCAACTATCAGCCCGGGACGAGAACGGAAATCTTTCTAGGGTTTATAATTTAGAGGTTTTGAGACACAGAACATTTCTTTTTTTTTTTCTTCCCCCAACATCACATCAAAAACACCGACAACAGAAATTAACAACTCCTTCAAGTACACCGCAAACAATGACACACAAATCGAAGGTACTGAATGAACTGCGCTAAGATAAAAAAGGGAATGATTTTCATCAATTCTTCTTGATGACTCAACTCTACCAAATGCATCCCGCAAATATTGTACAAAGCGACGGGGGAAACTCGTCCAAGTGACAACCGGTGGAGGGATCGGTTTCTGCCATTGGTTACCCCCTGGCAACACGCACCCCCTTCACGAAAATATTTGTCCTTCATCTCAGGAGGACATCAATTTGTAACAAAATGATAATCAACATCAGTTTGGGTTTATGCACAATTTATGCCTACGTGGACAAGGTTGGGTTAGGTTGAGTATTTTCGTTAAGGTTCAGTCGGATACCGCATGTTGAGCTGAGAATGTTTCGTTAGGTTTGGTAGACCAGGTTACGTCGAGTAGTTTAGGTCAGGCCGAGTTGAATAATTTAGGTTAGGTTGAGTTGAGTTGAATAGTTTAGGTTAGGTTGAGTTGAGTTGAATAGTTTGGGTTAGGTTGAGTTGAGTAGTTCAGGTTAGGTTCGGTCGAGTTGAATAGCTCAGGTCAAGTCAGGTCGAGTTGAGCAGTTCAGATCAGATTAAATTGAGCAGTTTAGGCTGAGTTGAGTTGCGGAGTTTAGGTTAGGCCGAGTCGATTATTCTCGGTCATGTCAAGTTAGTTCAAGAGCTTTTATTACTGTACACTGCATTGCAAAAGTCTGCAAAGCGTATTGGTGAATGAGCATGTTTTGAGTAGATGAAGAATTGCTTGAAAAAATAAGCACAGCACCAGTAAGGCAAATGATGAAAAAAGTAGAGAGATGAGAAATTCCTGCTGAGAAGGCACTATAGTACTTTCTGGTGAAAAACAGAATCAAAGCAAATGAACTTGCGGTGATCAGGATCATTCTATTTAATTTATAAACGTACTCGGCAAGAGCATTGGCGTCATTTCCAACGACTGTGGCTTCCTAAGGACCCCAGAACATTTTAGGAGCTTATTCACCCAAACCAGGACCTATCCCTATAAAGTGGGACAGATGAAAATCTCCAGAATACAGTACATTTGACAAACGACAGCAACAGATCATTCCGCCAGTTCCGGGAAAATATGTTGTCAAATATCAGTTTTTCCATCGAAGGGACCACGGCATGTTTTTTCCTCAGAGCAAAGAACTCGCTTTTCTAGTGCAAGTTCAAAATTACCCAGAATACCTCTTTGTAGAGGTTTTCTGGGTGAAATATTTCATCATTTTTGCCTCCGAAACCTGTAGAGCTGGAGGTTCAAGTACTAATCAATTGGTCTAGATTCTAGAATTCAAAATCAATTTTACTGATACTGTATTTAGCTTACTTCGGAACATACACGAATTTCTCCCCGGGGGTTCCCTAATTTTCAAATTTTGGATAAAAGCTAATTTTATTCCCGTTGATTAATGCGTTGAGCTTCGTTGTACTTCTCTAAAACGTATGTTTCACATTAAACACACGTTCATTTTTTGACTCATTAGACTGATTAGAGAATTTCTGAAGTGAATTTTCGTGATATCTGGAATAAATTCAAAATTACATGCATCTCCACAACGATCGTTGAAGGGACTTCGGTGAATGGGGATCAATCAGGTAATTTCACAAAGTTTACCTTCCTCGGCTAATGGACTTTTACCCTACTTCGGGAAGCTTGGCGGTCAGTCTATTTTTCCTCAACATATCATTTTCATGGACTCCACCAGAACGGATCAAGTCCATCTGCAAACTAGCACTTTTCAATTGGCGGCACGCGGACAGCTTATGGTGAAATTGATAAAGGTAAACTCTCCCTACAACGATTTTCGCTGTATAACGAATTCCTTCTAGGGTTCCAAGGGTTTCGTACCCAATGTTATAGGGGTCCTCAAAATTTTTTTTTCTGGTCCCCTGAAGTTGGTTGTAGATAAGAGTCCACCTGTAGTATTTTCCAGGAAGTAATGAACTGATACAAGAGGTTAATGGAAATGAATGAAATCGTTACTTGGATAGATGAGGAAAATGACTTGGACAAGGGTAGACAGGAAATATGACCGAGAGATGCAAGTAACATGGAAACCGATGCGTTCTGAAACTTAGAATGATAACCACAAGTAACCCAAATCAATTTACGAAGAGGTAACAAGCCACATATTGAAGTTGAACCTTTTCAAGTCGAACTTCAAGGGACCCAAAAAAAATCGACTTATTAGGAAGGCTTCCAGTTACAGTAATGTATAGGGAACCCACCATTTTTGCTGGGGACAACAAACAAATAAGAAAAAAAGAAATACATCACAGGTACTCTTCTGGGTGCTAACCAGCCGAATAAATTAGTTCACAGGATCCTGCACTTGGAGGCAAGCGTTTATTTTCTCACTTAATCGGTCACTCAACAAACTTGAGATGAGGAAAGAACCTCAAACCAAGTCAAAAAACAAGAAACGTTGAACGGTTATTTTTTCGATTTTGAAACTTAGAAATTTTATAGTTTCATGAAAATATACAGTATTCACAAATTTGGAAAGAAAAATCGTCACGAAAAAATTAAATTCGCAAGGAAACTAAATCAAAAGGGGACCTGATTTTACTCGGTGCATTCATTTCAAAATTTTCTTGTCTCTTCGAAGTTTTCCTGCTCATTTCCTTTACCCAGCCTCAACAATTCATTCTACAAAGAAACCAATCAAACAATGTTTCATACGTTACTTTCGGGAATTGCGACTTACATCCTGAAGAACGCCTTAACCAACGAACCGTACAATGGAAGGAATTAGGTTCGTTGCTCAAACCCCTCCACCCACGGGAATTCAGGAAGGGTCCAACCAGAAATTCGACACACGGAGGGCACCCACCCAGTGAAAAATCGGACAAACATTTTTTTTTTGGAAAAAGAGTCCCCGCGGTGTAAATGAAACGGAACAGCGTCTCGCTCAATACAGTACAGTATCTCTCTCTCACCTGACGCTGCGGAGAGTGTCGTGATAGGCATCGTCGACGCCGTTGGAGCCGGCCCAGATCTTGTGGTTCTCGTCGCCATTGTAGATGGACAAGTCGTCAGCCGACGCGTCGCGAGCGTGGCCGTTGACGACGGTGGCCTGGCCGTCGTCCGTGAGGTCCAAGTGCTCCTCGATGCTCTGAGTCTGTCCGCCAGCGTACAGGGTGCCGTAGGGCGACGCGGAGCCCTCGATCTGTCGCGCGTACATGTTGTCGGCGTAGGCGTGGAAGCAGCAGCGCACCAGGGCATTCGCCGGGTTCTCCTGATAGCATTCAAAAACAGAAACAACGACAATAAAAAATCAGTAACATGACAAGGAATCCATTCTTCATCACCTGTTATTCAGAGATACGGTACAGAAATAACCATGTGATTCACGGGCAGTTACCCATACTGGTAGAAAAAAAAACTGTCTAGAGGGGTCAAGATGACGCTAAGCTGAACTGAAACTTGAAGGGAGGATATGTTGCCGTACTTTCATACTCGATCAATCGACCCATTTTGATATTTATTAAAATAAAAACTAAATATATATATATACTGTATATATATATATATATAACGAAGTTTTGAATAGAATAAAATAAATATGCAGGAGGACTCTCTCTCTCTCTGCAACGATCTTGTCTACGATGATAATCCATGTGAAATGAACGTGGTTTTGTTACAACCAATTGTTTTCTGGCTCCTTGAATTTCGTTCTAGAGAGAGTCCACCAGTAATGTACAGTGAGACCCCCACATGCGGACACCTCGACCTGCGGACAATTCGACATAGGGGCACTTATTTTCTAATAAAAAATTAATAAAAATGGCCAGACATGAGGACACTGACTCAACATAGGGACATAGGGACATTTTGTTATGAAATTGCACATACATTTCAAGCCAAATTACAAGAAACAGATATTTCCAACCCAAAAATTAATGTAGATAAGCTCTTGGGCATTTCTCTCTCCAATTTATCATCCATTTCGCTAATTTAAAAAAAATTGCCTCCAACAGAGCGAGACTTCCTTTTTTTCACATGAATTTTATTTTTACAGAGAATGCCAACATTTCTGTGTACTGTACAGAGGTATCAGTATTCAATTCTCCAAATGCCCATATTGTGTTGAAATATATTAATTGGAATCAGTTTAAATTGGGAGACCATTTTTATTTTCATGGAATTATGGTGAGTATTTTGTACATAAAACACCAATTAAAAATTATATAATGTGTCTAAGGGAAAATGAGACTCGACTTGGGGGACATTTCGACTTAGGGACACTCTTGATCCACCAATTACGTCCGCATCTTGGGGTCTCACTTTACACGCATAATACAATGAGTCCCCGCATAACGAAAATTTCGCATTACAATGACAGTACTCAAGGCAGAAAATTTGAAGAAAAAAAACTCACAAAAATAAAATGTCCTGCATTAAGACATTTTCATTGCATTTGGAATTTAAATCGCAGACTTTCTCTGAGCTACATCCCTTGTAAAATTGTTGGGGCAGGGAAATTATAAAAAAAAATTTATACAACTCGCACTACGAAATTTTCATCTTAATGCGGGGCATTTGGAAATAAAATCCCAGACTTTCCCTAAGCCACAATATCTTGATAATTATGCCCCTTTCCTTTTAACCTTCAATATTTTGAGAAAAAATTAAAATTTTCTTGAAGCATTCTCAGACGGAAGCGGCACTCACATAACAAAATCTTCGACTTAGTATCCTTCAATTCCTAAGAAAAACCAACTTTGGACCGTCATTTGCCACGGGCAATCAGAGATGTCATGGGTTTATTTCGACTCCACCGAGTTCCTTCAATTAGTGTAGTAATTATTACAGTATTGTGCTCTATTCCCACTGTGAGGAAACATTCGTTTTTCGCTCTTACGCCAACAAATGAAATACTGTAGGCTACACTGTCCAAGTCCTCCTGTTCGAAAGTAAATCCGAGAGGATGTGATGAAGTAAATGCGGCTTGAAATTTCATACGCAGCAATAAAACATATTAATGCTTCGTTTTAACTTGTTTTCCTTCTCAAAACTGTCAATACGCCGTCGGCTTACATCCCATTAATCCATTAAAATCCCGTCGTCGTAGAATGTTTTTGAGAAATAAGTTTCAACTTTTTCCACAGCCGAAGAAGCGCTGCACAAGTAGCACAACAATTGAAAATTCACCGATACAGTACGTATTTATCTGAAAATGTGCTCCGACATGCGGACACAGGCCCCACTGTAAATCCAAAAAATGAATTGGGAATTCTTCAGTTTTTTCCCCAGAGAATTGAACCTCTCACTGAAATCTGCGCCGTTTCTAGGCTAAGCTGACTTTTGCATATATTTCTCCTGTACCTCATTTCCACATGGCATTTCTTCTCGTATTCTTCAACAGGAGCGTCTTGAACACTAATATGAGGGGTTTCTGATTTCCGCGCGGAGACCGGAAAACAATGTTCACAAATTGGCAACATCCAATAAGTTTTTCTCATTTGTTTATTCCGAGCACACAATTATAAATCTCGAAATACGTGGTTGAAACACAACGATACTCGGGGGAGTGGGGGACCAAACTTGGATCAATCGTTAAAGAGAAAATTATGTCGTGAAATATCTGGTTAAAGTTTAAACGCATGTATCAAAGGAAAGTGGGCATCGGCAAAACTACAGATTGCAGAGAAAAAAATCATCGCAAAAAATAGTCCACCATCATTTTTTAACGTATTACAGGAATCAGACATTATAATTTATAAATCATAAAATGACTACATTCTTGCAGTCAAGCATGGGTGAAGCAGGAAAACGTAACAGCTGCATCGTTGACCGACTTTTTTTCTTCTGCTTTCTCCTGATTAATAGTGCGAAGAAATGCATGAATTCTTTTTATGGGAGAAGGAACATGAATGGAGATCACGCTAATTTTCTCAAGTGAAGAATTTTTAATACTGTTCATACTACACGTGGACTCTAAGTCTAAATTCAGGGGATCAGAAAAAATTCGGATGAAAATGTCTTCTTAGATAACCCATAAAAGATGGGTAGATGCCCATGTGGGACCGAAAGAAACCAAATTCGTTATAACGCACAGAGAAAATCGTAGTAGAGGGAGTCTACCTGTTGAGTGTAAAAGTGCGCAAAAAAAATTATAACAGCACGTGAACCAAGCGTACCTCGAACTCCAGAAACATACCTTGTCCATTTAAAATTGAAAACAAAATACTGTAGTACCCTTTTTATGGATTTTCGCAACTCCGCAACAACCTTTCGATGTGCGATGGTATCAAGAGAGAAATAGAAAATTACATTCGTATTGCCTACATTTTCAGGGAACCCTGATTATGCTCATACGCAACAGAGATCAGCATGAAAGCACACTAAACTGTGGTCTAATCCTTTTCCTAATTATTTTTAATACTCCAACCAGCCAATTCATTTAAAAAAGATCGACAACAAAGCCCAACACTTGTCAAGCATCTGTCTCGAATTTCGAAGGTAACTTTCGTGAATTATATAGTGTAATATTGCGTCAGTGTAAAGGCAAAAAAAAAAAAAACCGCAAAAGCGTCAGCAAGCAGGTCATCCAGTTGTTTCTACAGGTATACAGTATGAATGAGCCTTCTCAAGAACGATTTTCTCTGCATGAGGAATTTTGTGTCCCCTTCGGATTCCCTACAATTCAATTTTTTTCTGGTCTTCTGAAATTTAACTTTAGAGAGTATCCACCTGTAAGTGACTTGCTTTTCCGTCGCGCATTTGTTAGGGTGAAAAAATATGCCTGCCGCGTTCAATAATAATTCGGAGAATAGCAGTTGTCCAGATGCCTAATGACTGACAAAATTTACAACCAGGCAGTGCGGCCCGTGGGCCGGATCCGGCCCGAAGAGACTCTTCAGCCCTCCCGCAATCCCTTCCCATAATTCTCAACGTGGCAGCCACCACTATTCAAAATACACACGGAGACATGATTTTTAAAATTAAAAATGTTGCTCCACGCTTCAAAAATGCTTCAATACTATGCTTTTGATTTAACGGCGAAGCACTGAATTAAATTTGAAACGTTCAATTTAAAAGGAGAAACATTGGAACATCAAAAATGATCGTTTACAGTATTAATGTGGCCCTTCGCCACATCTGAGTTGGGCAGCACTAAAATACGGGGCTGCATAAAGGAAAAAATACAGGTTTATGAGCGCCACATAACTCACGTGTTTATTAGCGTATCATTACCTTCTTCACAATCTCCTAATCTCCTTTGGATGCAAAGAGGCGAATTACGGAAACTCGGAGAAGATGAAGAAATGGAAAAGGTAACAGACGGCATCAAATTACACGTTGCAGTTGACTCGAAATTTTTCCAACAGACCCGCGCAGTCGAGTTTTTTTTACACAAAGTTTCTCAATTTGTCAGACCACTACTCCAAAAGAAGGGGGGAGCGAGCCCAATTGGCTAATACCTCAGAATACAGTGAGACCCCCACATGGGGACAATTCGACATAGGGACATTATTTTTCGATAAAAAAAATCATAAAAAAGGACCAACATAGGGACACTGACTCGACATGAGGAGATTGCATGATAAAATTGCAAATAAATTTTAGGAAAATTGACTTTTATTAGGCTTCATTGCAAGAAACAGATATTTCCAACCCTAAGATCTATGTAAGAAAAATTACCTGTAGCACAGATAAACTTCCTTCTTTTTTTGTGACATTGGATGTTATTTTTTACAGATGCCAACATTTCAATGAACTGCAGAGTGGTATACTATTCAATGCTCCAAATGTTTTTATTGGGTTGAAAAGATATTCACTGAATCAAATTCAAGTGGCGAACAATTTTTTTTCATGGAATTCTGAAGAATATTTCTTTCATAAAACACCAATTAAAAATTACATGGGAAAACAAGACTCGACTTAGGGACACTCTCAATGCACCAATTATGTCCGCATCTGGGGATTTCACTGTATTTTAATCTCACATAATCAGCATTCAATGATTTTTCGACTTGACCAGAATGGTGAAGCCATTTCATTCAACATACAGTACATTAAAGCATACAAAGCAGTAATCTTAACTGAACTTTACAATAATTCAAATGAGGAGAAATGATCCATTGTTCATGAGTTATGCAGTATTTTCTTCTAGGCATGCCGCATTTCGGAAACAAAAAACCTCGGGAATAGTGTACAATAATTAAATTGTCCATCCCATTGTGATGAAACGACCTCTACGCGACAAAATGAGGCATTGTTGCCACTCCTAAGAGAGAGACCACCTTTCTATGCATGGGCAATTTACAGTACACATTCTTCAAGAATAGCTCTCAGCTAGTGCTTGGCTCATTTTCGGGAGCATCCATCAGAACTCACATTCTAAGTTGTCACTATCCAGAATTTCGGTTGATTCAAGGGGACTAAACTTTTTTTTACACTCACAGCGCCTACCAAGTTGATTTTCTAAAAAAAAAACGTCAGATAACAAGAGATTCCAGTTGTTCGTAGTACTGTACAGTACTTTTCTTGTTCAGTACTTCACGTTTTTGCCAAGGATTTCGAAACGTCTCTCAGCATTCATCTCACAGCTTCCAAAATGTGTTCGGATCAAAAAAGATGAACACAACAACATCGGAACTGAAGGGGTTCTGATTTGATTGGGGTACGTTGTGAGAGCAAGGTTTGGATTGTTCGGGTTTAGGTTGTTGATGTGATTCTCTTCTGCGGTTCAACAAATCTGACATAATTTTAAACTCATACATTACGAGCCTTTGAGTAAAGTTGTTCGATGGATTTTGCTTACATCGGTTTTCGTGGACATATAGATTTTGAAAAAAACAAAATTAATTTAGCTTCTGCAGAAATTTGCGATCAAAGGTGGACTGTCTCCACAACGATTTTCTCTGTATAACCACGTTTGTTTGTTCTTGTGGTCCCACAAGTTCTGTCCCCAGGGTTCTCTACAACGAATTCTGTCTGATCCTTTAAATTCAGCAGTAGTAAGAGTCGCGCTGCGAAAAAAAAATCAGGAGAAAAGGGCACTTCTGTGATCAGGGTCAACTTCTTGCCCATTTTGCTTGACCTCATACCGTGTTAATCGGATTCCCAGAGTTGAACAACGAGCTGATGAAAAAAATCTTATGTACTGTAGTTTCTAAATTGAACCGAAGATGAACAGAACGACCAGGAAAAGCACAACGTGATGTTTCAAGCGGAAGTACGACCCTTCCATGACAAGGTATTCAACAACACAAAAAATTTTCTTCAGACGACGGTTCCTAGGCTTAGCTCAAAAAATGCGCATCATTCTTCGATGCCTCCAAAATTTGCGTCTCATTACTGATTCTACTCGTGAGAAATTTTGGAAAAAAAAAAGAAAACATCCCACGTTTCACCGTCTCTTCTGTGGAATTAAGCAGTCGTTGAACACTGACACATTTCCTACCTCGCCTTCACAAAAGTACTTTCACGACAGAACCCCCGACTGTGCGATGCTTCAAACTAACCCGAAAACGAGAGAAATTATTCGTAACCATTCCTTTATTATTTGACATCTACCATCTTGTGTTCGGACACAAATCGCATTCCCGAACTTCAGAGAAAACCTGTTGATTCCACATCCAGAAAGAATACGTGACGGTAAAAAAAAAATACTTTCTCGGAACGTGGTTTAGAAAGAGAAACGCAACATTTTGTTTCAAAATTACAGGCAAGTGGAAATATGGTATACTGAGACAACTATAGAAGCAGAAGTAAACCCTAGAGATCGGGATCACTGGAATGTCCCCAAAAACTGGGCGAAGTTATATTGAATTTGAAATAATTCATAATTTTATTGAATTTCAGAACAGGCGCGTTTCAACAGTTTTCTTTCACAATAAACAATTACACAGAACGTTTCCTTTTATAGTGGTCCAAAAAGCAGCTCAAGAACCCCAAAGGCATTCAAGCACTTTGAAGAGCAAAAATTTGAACGAATAATCTTCTTTCAATCGTAAATTATCGGATCCTGGTCACACAAGTGAGCTACACTCGGGATTTTTAAAGTAACAAATACTTTCAAAAATGGAATGAAAAAATGTAAATTTTCAAAATCCAAGTCCAGGAAAAGCAATGTGAGGAAAAGCAAGGACGCATACTCTCACTCAGCTAAAAATGTTGCCAGATTCGTTAAATCGCAGAATAAAAACACGTAAATTACCTCACCTAAAACAAGTCCAACCTTGTTCTGACAAAATGTCCCAATCAGACAAAAAAGTCTGAAATGCAAATTTTCTTTTATGCGCCCTTTTTTCATTCATTTTCACGTAAAGGGGAACTCGCATCTTGGTGCACATCCAAGAAAAGGAAATACCGCACTGTAAGGACTAAATTCTTCATCAACTTTTGCACACTACATTGTGGAATCACTTTATGGAAAAATGAAGAGTCCATCCACAACACTGCATAAGCATCAAAGAAAACAAGGCGTTTTATTTCGAAAAACAAATCTTCACAATTGATAATAGCATCGGAGACCCCGATAAAACGCCATCCGCCTGAATTTTCGATAACTCAAACATGCACCTGCCCATTAATTTTGCCTTCGATAGCCCGCCAACACGATTCCAGTTTCTGTGAGAGGTTTCCGATCACATAAAAACCAACAACAAGATGACATAATTCATTTCTTGAGAACGTTAGCTGGATATAATTCACGCATAGAAGAAAAAGGAATTTAATTTCCCATCATAATGGATTTTTTTATTATTTCACCGTTCCTGGATAAACCGCCACCTCGTTAAACCACGACAAACCTCACTAACCAATGTTAGCTTACAGAGGTTTGACTGCGTAAGCTTAACTGCGCAGTTTGATACAAAGATTTACAAGTGATTCCGACTGGTGTTCGGTACCAGACCCCGTCTCCATTGATTCCGAACAGAGGGTTAAACACCCCCCCCCCCCCCCAAAAGGGGGATTACGCTGGGCCCGGGGTAAGAAGGGGTAAATTTCTTTGAATTAATTCTGGCGGGCATTCACACCCCCACCAATCTTTTCCTTCACACTGAATATTTCGGGGACATCATCACCACGATTTTGTGTCGAGTTCAATCATTGAAGACTCAAATATGTTCGTGCCGATTAATTTTTTCTTCAATAGCTTGCCAAGAAGATTTCTGTGAGAGGTCCCCAATTCATGAAAACACGAACAAAAGGTGAAATAATTTAATTTCTTGGGAACATTGACTAGATATAATTACGCATCCCGGGGTTATTTTCATTGTCTTCCAGAATTCGAATTTACAGTACAGTACTGTATTTCCTGTTGCACTTGATTTTCATATTAATTTAGCTTTTTTCCATAAACTACCAAGCAACTCCTGCCAAACCCCCTACAATCCTCACAAACAAATGGTGGTGTCGTATAAAGGTTTCACTATTAAATAATGATATACAGTAATTAAATTTCACATTAAATAACAGTACATATTTACGACTGCCCGTGGGTCCATAATCTGTCTAGAAGCCCGCAAACAGAATCTTTTGGGGATTTCTCGGCTAAATCGGCGGTGATGATTTTTGAAAACACTGACCTTTTTGCAGATGAAAGCGTGGCACTCCAGCACCTTGATGCCAGTAGTTCGCCTCAAGATGCAGGCGAACAAGGGTCGATGACTCGTATTCGGACTACGAGCAAATGGCGAGTCCAGCGGAAGGAATCTCGACACTTTCTCAGCTCCTCCAGGCACCACAACAAATCTGTAAAACACGCAAAATAGTAAGGGTTTAAGCCTCGGCAGTTTGGGCAAATACTGTACATTCGTCACCGTATCTCAAACGAAGAATTGTCGCACAGAGCAAAATTGATTCGAAGCATTTTCCACAATGCAAGGACACCAAAAGCGTTTCCAATCACTCAAAAGACATTTCTGTCAGCTAGAAAAACTTGGACGCAGTCTTAAAATTATAGTTTGACCGAAAAGTTGGCAAGGAAGCTGATTAGAATCGGAATTTGAACTTCACCACACATTTTCCGGTGAATATTATAATTTATATGCTGTATTTTAATTTACAGTGTTATAAATTATATATTTCCGGTGAATACTATATGCTTGTAAATAAAAGTTTACATGGGTTGCAATTGCCAACCTGGTTCACAATACATCCCGAAAAGCTGAATGGGTCGCCGGGAATTTAAAAAAAAACGGGGTTTTTCGCATTCCACATTCAATATAATATTCCACGCACCTCCGAATGAACAAAAACCAAGAGAAGTTACCAAATGAGAGTATAATTTAATACCCTCCAAAAAAGTACGGAAACAGAAGGAATCCAGCGTATGATTTGCATGACTACTGTATAACGAAATGACTCCACAACCAACAAGGAAATAAAATGGGCCCAAGATGATCTAAAAATTCGAAAAAAATAATTCCGTGTCATCGGAGGAGTCTTCCAACATTTGAAAATACAGTACAATACTGTATTCGAAGTCCCACATTATTGACGATTCCCACGCAGCAATTCTGCATTCATGTGCCCATCTGTTCTTCTGGCCACATCCATAGTGAACTACAAAGATTGATCAGGTCAAGTTGAGGTAGTTGACAAAGTTAAGGTCATCGTATTTCAGACTTATGCTTGGTTGATGATGTTATGCCTCAAACTCATTAGAGAGGCGCATCGCGGACATGGTAAAAAAGACGGGGACAAAAAATGCCAAACATTGACTTTTCGGAATAAGATCTCAATGTTACGTTCGCAATGATCAATAGTGCGTACAGTCCAACCTCTTCGAATCAAACTTCAAGCGACGAGCAAAAAATCGATTCAGACAGGCTTCCAGCAAAGAAGAAGTATTTTTCTTGGGGAAGAGAAGTACTGTATTGTACTGTACTGTACTGTACTGTAGAATTACTGAAAATTTAAATTGGTGATATTATGGACGTTAAATTGCTTTCTGAATGAGCTGGCAGGATGATGAAGTTGAAGGCAATGGTTTCTGTTCGCTTTTCTCTTCCTTGTGTCAATACAATAATAGGCAAAAGGCCTCCAGAAAATTCGAGTTACGGAGGTTTGAGCGAAAGTCTTCCAATCAGGGGGATTTTCAATGCATTGGTTCCAAGAGAATTCAGACAGGGACTTGAAAAAACCGACATAGAGATGAATTTGACTGAAGGGGTCAAGTTGTCAAGGTTCTTTTTTTTTTGCCGGAGCTACACGCAAGGATTCTCAGAACACACTAAAATCTTGTTACAGCAAAGGCTTGAAATGGAATCGTGTTGATGAAAAATTTGATATTATGAATGAATGAATGAACAGAACACTTTATTTGCCAATTTTCAGCATTCACAAGGTTCAATCAAGATTTCCACAACCAAACCCCCTTCCCACCAAACCCAAATCCACTCAATGACATTTAATCACTTCAGAGCAGGAAACACAGCACAAATTGATAACAAAAATAAAAAATTCAATCCATGAAATACAGCTAGACATCTGACAAGTATGCATACAAACATTCATTCCCTGACATTGGAAACAAAATATATTTAAAAATTAATTTTAAGCACAAGGTCTTCAGTTTGTTTCTGTATGAGGTTTAGTTGAATGAACAAATTAGAGAGAATCTTTGATGAGAAATCATATAAGGCCAACAGTTTATCTTGATCCTTTAAGATTTCAGAAAGGGTATCTTCATTGAATTCCAATACTTGTAAATCTTTCTTAAGCTTGTTTCCATCAGTATGAAATGCTGGAGATAAGAAGAGAAGGTGCTCTGGTGATGCACAAACCAATGTATTTATGCTGCAGGAGTTACACCACTTAAGACACTTTTGAAAATTGGATGAATTTTTTACTCAAGTGCCATTTTACTAAATTCGTTATCAAGTAACTAATCCCCCATTATGTCAATTGTACGGGACGGGAACCGAAAAAAATGACTTCGTTGTAACCGCTTATTCGTTGAAATGAAATTCTACTGTATTATACTGTATACTGTATTTTCATTTTTCCACAGCAGACAATTGACCCATTCCCTAGGACGTTCACACCATCCCCTCGAAGACACTTCCTCACGAAAGGAACCGTAAAGCTCATAAATATAGGACTACAGTACAGTACAGTACGATACTCCTCTCCAACTTCACATTTTTAAGCAGAATTCCTCGGCATTATTTGATCTGCCTCCTTCACGACCCACTTTCCCATTCATGAGCCACTTTCGAACAGTGAAGACAGCACTGTTCCAAAAACACTCCGCACGCCTTCGTGTCAGGTACAGGGTATTCTCAGAGCAGTGGTGAGATTTCGCGGCGCATCGAAACTCATCCATCAACTCACGATTGCGTCATTGTTTCCGTAGCATGCAACGAAATAAACGCAACCGATTTTTTCAAAGAGTAACGACGGAAAAACAAAACTGAACTTGCGGGTATTACCCAAAAAACAGTACCTGTCGGAAGTGGTTCAGTGAACCGGGGAAGGGAATCGGCGGTGACATACCTCGGCTGCACCTCCGCGCTTTCTCATTTCCATCAAAATGCGAGGGGTGCTTCAAAAGTTTTGGGAATAACCGGGTCAAATTCAAGAGGGCTGTTTTTTATTCTGGGACGTTTCACCCATGCTACGAGTACCTCATGAAAACAATTAACGTTAGCATTGTTTCTATCGCGTCATATTCACCAACTCCATCTCGTGAATTCGTAAATAAATATAGGTACAGTACAGTGAAATCTCGTTATAATGAATTCGTTTTTGGGTCCCTGCCCGAGAACTACAACGTTTTTATACGAAGAAAGTTTTTTTTTACGAGGCACAGTGGCTTTTCTTGTAACGATATTTGACTCTATTACCTCGTCTGAATTAGATGGGAGTCACTCTAATACAAGAACGACCAACAGATCACGACTATCTCAATCAAATAACTCCTTTAATACCCAGTCGACACATTGAATGTACAATAGCAGAAAATTTGTCGATCATACAACCTACCGTCCTCCCTGAAGTCTCGTGTAGTTCTTTCTACTTTCCGTCATTTGCATGGCTTTGCAAACAGAGCTTGAGTGTTAGAGGAAAGGCATTTTTGGCATGTTCTTTTGATACACCACGAGTAATTTGAGTTACCTAAAAAATTTCGCGAAATCGACAAGTCTGAAACTTGTCTTCATCGCAACACGATCGCTAGGTCTTCGACATCATAACTGAAGTGATTCATTTTTCTATTGGAATATTCCCTCGCACTCGCAATATTTTTTATTCATCACCATACTAGTCAAACCGCAATAAGCCGCCACGATTTGTTTGCGTGGGTTGTGGTGTCCTAAAGGGGGTTAGGGGTTCATCGAAAAAAAGTTAAAATAACATAGAAATCAAGTAAAATACGAAACACAATTCGTATTCGTTTAAAAACAATCAAAAGAACCATGGGAGGCATACATTATCGTTAAAAAATTCCAAGAAGTGAATTTCGTCATCGTTGCATTCGTATGTTTTTTACATTTTTTATTTGAGACATATTGCAGAAACTTGAATCTAGTTGGCGGGTTATCGAAGACGGAATTCATTCGCAGGAACATATTCGACTCGACAATAATTTCGGCGGATGGCGTTTCAACGGGGTTTTGAAATTATTTCATCATTAGGGAAGATTTGTTTTTCAAAATACATCGGCGGTTGCCGAGGGTGGCGGCTAATCGGGGGGCGTCCTAACGCGGTTTGACTGTACTGCAGCAGAATCTCGTTATAATAAATAATCTCTTAAAACGAAGTCGCTTTTCAGGTCCCTGTCCAATAGACAGGATGAAGGGATTTTTCCTTACAACGAAGCTTTTTACTCGTCCCGAAGGATTCGTTGTAACGAGACTTTACTGTAAGAGTTGGGAAATCAACCTCCGTTTTTTTCAGACATGTGATTCACCGCAAATAGAGTAACTTTCCTTCATCTGCTTTGACTTCAGAACAAAACAGCAACAAAAAACCTCTTCAAGCATTGGAACGAACGGAAGTTCGAAACACAGAATCACTCACTTTACTTCAAAAATTCCACTGTGAATTTAATTTCGATGAAGCAGAAGTCCAAGACTGTGAATTTGCGATGAACCCCGGTGTAAAACGTGGGCACCGTTTGGCTACTGGGTTGAGGACGGAACCGTACGGTTATTTTTTTTTTTTGCGGGCATGTTCCTCCAGCCAGAAATCCGAATCACGATCGCGATGTACTTCACACGTTTTTCGAATTAAAAATACATCAGATCGCCGCAAGTAGTACAACAGTACATGGTGCAACCGAAGGAGTAAAACATGCACCCGGTCACATGCTCGCCATTCCTGGAAGTTTGTGCGTAACTTTGGCTTCCAAAAATACTCCGAATTACGTTTCGTACCGGTACTAAGCAGTGAAGAGTTTTGCATCTTTGCTCATCGCTTCGCGCAGAAAATCATCTGCCAATATTTCTCGACATACAGTACCACGAACTTTTACACAATATGGCGCTGCGCCCTTCATTACTACAGTCAAACCCCGATAAGACGCCACCTTTTGTCCAGAGCAATTCCGGCGGTTTAAAGGGGTTGGCGGTTTATTGAATATTTCATTTTAAATATTTTGATCAAAAATACTTGATTTTCCTTCAAAAGTAATAAAAATACAAGTTATCCAGAAACTTCAGTAATTTTCCGCAGAGTATTGCTGTGATTTATGCATTACTCCTTCAGAAAATTAATTTTTCTGTTTCAATTTATTCAAATTTTAAAATTAGGTCTATATATTGTTCAAATTTTTTGAAAAATGAAGATTGTCATTTTGTTTTCTTCTTACCAATACAAGGTCCTGGACAGAAAAAATAAATTTACCCCAATGTTGGCGTTGTAACAAAGACAAAACTATTACAAAACAGCACTTTTGTTTCATCACTAATGCTGGCGGTTGGCGTCTTATCAAGGTTTTCTATGGCATTTAGTATTGAGGAGATTCGTTACATTCAAAATGTTGGCGGTTGCCGAGGGTGGCGTCTTAACGGGGTTCGACTTGTATTATTAAACCAAGAAGTTACCAGCTGTCACATGTATTTTCGCAGGCTGAAAAGCCTCCTAGTACATTACATTCACATGCCAGACTGCGATTCAGAAATTGTGTGCTCATAAAAGCGTATAAAACAGGGCCTACATCCCATTTCGTGTAGTTTGTACTCTCCCACTCTCGAGACATGTAGAGTTGATGAAGTTCATTAGATTCGCCAGGCTGGAAGCAAATGTCTTGCTGCCCATTAGGGCCGTCAGAAAATGGCCCATTCATATTTTCAACTCTCCGTCTCCGTCTCTGGGACACGAGAGATGTGTTATGCAAGGTTGCCCTTCAAATCCAGGGCAACAGCGCGTAAAATCTGCCATGTGTTCATGCCCCGCTGGTTGGAAACCTGTGCCGCGCAGGAAGATTCGTGCGCACAATTTTTCGTGATTTTTCCGAACCATATGAGCACTGGATGATTGTGAATCAAAATTGCCAGCCACTCCAGAAAAGGCCCCGCCCAAAACCCGAAAAACGTATTGCACGCCAATCTCAGTATACCCACCAATGGAACGCAAACTTCGGTTGAAAAGCCGTGCTATTCAGAAGAGAAAGTTCTGAATGGCAAATGTCAACAATATTAGCACGGCATTCAATTGAAGTTGAGATACTGTACGTAGTTTACATTCGGGTCATTCAAACGCGATATTTCAAAATTTTCCGATTTCTTTCACTTGATCTCAATACTAGAGTTCCTTCGTAAACTGGCTCTTTAACGCTCTCGATGCTGAAAAGCCCTGCATACGACTCTGTCTTCTTCCAGGGATTTTCAATGTAGATGCATCATACTGTACTTCACTTTCAAAATCATTTCGAATTTTGTACAAAAGATACAGTGGAGCCCCAAAACATGGACGATACGACTTAAGAACACTCGAAAAATGCAGAACATCGGTACAATGTGTCACGGAAACTTCGCCAAGAACAAATTGAGCTCAACATTTTAAAATGTCAAAAAAAAATTTTAATTCGCCGTAGTTCATAATCCAAAACAGCTGATTTTGGGTTACTCTAATTAGGGGTTTTCCATCTGCGTTAAGTATACGAAGATGTAGACTTGTTTGTATTTTTGCGCTCCTTTTCAGACCAAAATGGCGGATTCTGCGTGGTTTTCTAATGCAGTTTTTTTCTGCATCTTGAGCTAAAAAGAAAACAATTTTCGTTTAAATTTGGAGGACCTTCCCCAAATTCGTGGATGAACAGGAGAGACAATTGAAATCTATGGAAAAATCTGGTCCAACATGCGGACGATCTGACATTTTAATGTGTTCAAGACTCAATTACTGATACGTCCGCATCTCGGGGTTTCCATTGAATACGTTTCCATTGAAGTCTACGGAAAAATCGGGTCCAACATGCGGACGATCTGGTATAAAGAATGTGTTCAAGACTCAATTACTGATACGTCCGCATCTCGGGGCCCCCACTCAACCATCACATTTCTGTAAACTGGAGAGCTCACGTTAATTTCCTCAACTGCATTCATGTTTCGTCTTCGTAACAATTCAAGAGTGTGCAATTTTGATTATTCTCAACACAGGTTTTCTTTTTCTCACTTTTTCAGCAACAAAAATTGACCGCACTGTGAAACGTCAATCTTTGCGTGCCTTCTTCTCGCGAATAAAAGCCACCCGGGGTGGAATACCGTACAGTACACACCTGACAGCAGCACAGTAGTGCAGACTCTCGATGGGGAAGAACCTGGTCACCTTCTTGTTCTTCTCATCCACATTCTCCAGCAAGAGCCCGTTGCTCCACACTGACAGCCAAGAGTCGATGCCTCGGGCCCCAGAGATTCCAGACTCGGGATAGAGTTCCTTCAGGGGCTGCTGGATGCCCTGGAGCCCGTCTTTCGTCACGTGCGGGACCGACGAGCCGAGGTACACGACTCGACACCGGCAAATCGGCGTCGATTCCGTCGACGTCGCGTCACGTTTCGCCCCTTGCCCCATCATCGTGAAGCCACTCTTTAACACTCGCGCATAATACACCGATTCTTATGCTGCAAAAAATTGAGAACACATTTACAAGTTGGCAGTTCGCTCCGACTTGAAAATTATCCACACACTCATTCACAAAAACAAAACAAAAACACCGACATCTCGCCAAAAAAAAAAAGCGTCACCGCGCAGTTGAGCGCGTTTGAAAACTGAGAAAATCGAAATTACACTGGAGTACTGGATGATCGTTTTCTCGGTGAACGATGCCGATTAAGTAAAATATTAATAAATCAGTCAACCCGCGATTGAGTGCCAACCTCGCGAATTACCACAAATGCCCGTGGTAAAAATGTTCCTTCATTGTGTTCTGAAGGGAAACTCAAACTTGGTGACAAACTCATCAAGTGCCAGAGAAAATATCTGTAATAAAACAAAAAATAGAGAATTTTCGTGACAATATCACTTGGTTATAACTTTTATTCGCATTAAATTGCTACATAAAAACGCAGGATACTTTCCGGTATTTTATTTTTGAATTCACGTAGTTGAAAAATACTTTTGTTGTATGAAACTTTCCTTCATGGTAATACTGTAGGAAGCTTTTCTTGGAAATATGTATGATTCCTTCAGGATGACACCTGATATAAAACTCAAGCCCAAACAGAATCTCAACGAACAGCTCTGTTCTTTTCACTGGACACAATGTGAGTAAAAATTTAATGTATTCGATCTTGATAAATATTTAAAACGATTTCTTGTGACTTCCTCATTGTGCATAGAATAGAAAAACTTCCTCTCTTATAATATCCTCGATTTACTGCCACCATCACTTGCTGTCACAAAATGTGCCATGAAAAATGGTGGAATCAAGTGTTGACTGTAGTCTCACTCCTCAAAATTTTTTATAGACGAGAAATTCGACGTGGATGAAACGGCATCCAAGGAGGTAAAATGCAGCACCTTCCGAATCACAAATGGTTGACACAGTTTTGTCGAATGTTCGGATGATTTCTCACTCGGACTCTTCCCGTAGGCTAATTCCCTGACACGCTCCAATGCCCCCGATGGAAGATTCAACCTGCCACATGTCCATGTTGTGCGTGGGGAAGGTCCAAAATTCGACGACCAATCTTTTTACAGCGAGAAAGTTGATACATTCAGCCCTTCTCGATATACAGTAATTTACACCAAGTTTGACACATTTCGAAGATACTGTACAGCATTTACTCGGGTAACATGCGCACCTTTCTTCGTGAAATTTGAGAGGAAAAGCGGTGCGTGTCGTCATAGGGCACACACACGGCGGAATTTGAAAAAAAGGTTCAGAAATTAAATTAGTAATTATATTCGATTTTAACGGTAACAATTGAATTCAGGCTTAATTCATGCCTTGACTCAAATCTAGGTGTTCTTGTTTTTGATTTTAGACTTTAGTGGCACTAAAAAGAGGGCGGGTGTCTTGTTCGGAGATACAATCTTTTCAACATTTTCAACTGAAAAATCCTGGTGCGCGTCTTACTGCGTGGCACAGTACTCGAAACGTAAATGCGGTACTTCGATCAAGCGAAAAATGGAGCTCGCATATTTCCTTCCATGATTTTCTAAAACGGTTTCGTCTTACTCGCGAGTGAAAATTCCTTGGTTCGCAACGATGGGCTTAGATCAGTTTAGTTTTTTTCTATAATTGGGATTACTGCGAACTAAGCCAGATTTATTGGGAAGTATAGAGAGCATCATTTTAGAAAATTTCAAAAAATGTATATCACGAAATGGTGTAGACAGATTATCCGCAGATACACATTTACGCAAAAGTATGCACCCACCTCTAAAAGTACTCCACTAAATTTCACATTTTCCTCAACTGCTGACCAACATCGACCGCATTCTCCATTCAAATCCCTTTGAATAAGCACACGACTGCTGAAGCACGCTCCTCTTCACACAATGCTTCACTTACAGTACCTTATACAGTTCTCGCGCAAGGTAAACATTAGCTTCTAATAAAAAACACTCAGTAAGTCACTGGAAGCATGTTCGACCTGAATTATTCTTTGAGAGCATGATTCGCAGTAAATTGCGAGATACAATCGAACTCCGAGGGATAAGTGAAAATTGACTAGCGCAGGCTTCCTGTTAGGAAAACAAGCATTTGTGTTAGGGGGAAACAAAGAATACTTACAGGAAATTTTTGCTAAATTGAATGTAATACTGTACGGGAATTTCGTAAATTGTAAATGGTGATATTCTAGGCCTTGAATTGTTTCGTAGATGAACTGACAGGGTGCTGAAATCGGAGGACACGGGTTCATGTGTCCAATTATTTTTCCACTTCCTTTCAGAAACACGTCAAGTTACATTCTGTTTGTTTTTCTCTTTCCTGTGTCAATAAAATGATACCCAAACGGCTTTCAGAAAATTCGAGGAGGTAAGTCATCGAAATGGGGAGGTTTCAAGTTTTTTGTTTCTATTTCTAGGGGAATTTAGACAGGGAATTGGAAAAAATTGACACCAGGGGGTTGGTGTTATCGATGCTCAACTGTACTGTATCATGCCCGGGTGCCCACAAAAACTTGGAGGTTCAATGAAGTGAAAAAAAATGTGTCACTGGGATAAACTACGATACACCTCTTCTTTGAAATCTTGCTTTCTTCCAATAAAACGCGTAGACAGAACTCATGAAGTTCGTTTAAAAAAACTCTCAGGAACGTCCTCTATTTTCAAAGTTACTTATATCGACAAGAACAGCAGGAAATACCGAGCACGTAGTATCGCATGAAATATGTAATACTGCATGTTGATGAAGTGTTGGCAGTTGAGAGCCACATCATACATAGTATGAACACGGATACACCGAAAACACGAGGTTCACAGGATTCCGAGGACATCTTCCTCTGAAACCATTCTGAAGAATCCCAAATAAATTCTTCGAATGAATACTCCCTTCCAACATCGCTTTCACGAAGATGTGAAACTGGGTCTTCTAAAATGTGATTCATTTTATGTAAAAGCATTGTATCGTGGCTCGACAAATTCATTGATGAAAGTATTCTTCGCGAGAAATTTCACACACTGAGCGTAACATCTCACTAACGTAGAAATTATGCACTTGAGTTTTTTCGGCCCAGTCAAGTCCACCCAGCAGGAGGAATGTGCAACGACTAGCGGGTCTGCCGGGCGAGCCAACACTCCCTCCCGCTTGTTCGCCCGCGGCAAACGGGGAGTGACGGCTCGCCCCTCTAGGACAAGCGCCGGTGTACCCCAGCTATTCTACTCTTCTGGAAGATCTACTCTCGGTGGACTCCTTGCAACTTTTATTCAGGTGGACTCTCTCTATGCAACAAATTACAAGGGATCAGAAACAGTTTTTTGTCGAGAACCCCGCAAAGCATAGGGAGAGATCTTGACAAAATATCATGATCCAGAGAAAATTGTTGCACACAAGGTTTTTGCAGAAAGAGTCAACCTGTATTGTTTGGGAGAATCAAATCAATCTTTGGTGAAGAAAATTTAATTTAGTGTTCGCATGATTACATCAATAGCTTGGGTAGGATCTGGGTCTAGTGCTGTGTCCCATTCCGATGATCCATCCACATTGAATGCATACAGGCACTGGAAAGTGCAGATATTTTTCATCTGCTGCAATTACTTTTAATGATGCCAGTAATGAAACATACTCAAAAGATGCACAATTTGTTCCAGGTATGAAGGTCTTCAATTAAATTGGGTTGCCAGAAGTAAAAACACCAACATGACAACACCATAATTGAGGATGAATTGGAGTAAGTGAAAGGTCAAACTTGCGTCAAAAATTCGTGAATGAGTGTATTAAAATATCAGAACAGTACTCCTGGAGGAATATTCTATTCAGTTTTTTGGAGTACTTCCCAGGCAATTAAGATCAGGGACACAATAATGTAATGACTTCTTCCTTACGGGCAATTTCTACGAAACCATGAAGTTTTGCAGTACTCTTGGCTTAGTGCCACAAAATATCCTGGGATGGATGGTGGCACTAAATCTGGGTTTGACTATATCTCACTGGTGTGTATGAATGAAAGAATCTATGCATGCAAACTGTAGCATATCCGTGAAGGGGAAATTCTTTTTTTTTAACGCATTCATAACGTGTGGGACCAAGGGCCAGAAGACGCAGACACCACGCGGTGTTCCTCATCCATTGCGGGGTATGCAGAAAAAAAGTGCAATATTGTATGCAGGTGGATTCTGAAAAGCGAGAGGCTTCTTGAGCACATGTAAATCCCTTGGAACTTGCCAACTGGTCTCGCAAGTTATGATGCTCGGGGATGGAACAGAATAAATTTCTAGCCGCATGGTCCGGGGTCACGGTGCTCAGGAATCCCATCAAGAGAAGAAATACGGGGAGAGGGAGATAGGTTTTCTAGGGGGTTGCCAGGAAGTCGGGAGTGGGCGCTGCCACGCGGACGAAAGGAGTGCGGAATGCGACTGTGACGGCATTGGCGACCCGGGCCTGGCTCCGATGCAGGGCACCGAGTTGGCCGGTTCTTTCCCTCATGTCTGTCTGTCTGTCTATCTTCTCGCGCACGCGCACTCTCTCGCGTACCGCCTCGCCGGTAGTCGGCCTGGACGTCTGTCGTGCAGACTCGCGGGGTGCCCTCACTCCTTTGGCAGAATCTAATCACAGACACCCCGCCCCTGCTTGCCCGGCTTATTTCTCTGGTGAAAAGGGGAATTTCCTGTGGTGATCACTGCCATTCCCCGTTTCACCCCGCCGCCAAAAAAGGGCCTTTCATTCCCAGGCCCCATTAAGAAGGCTGCAGATTTTTTCTGGTCCATCCCCATTTCACTTCTTCTCACATCAACACATGATTCTATGCATGACTGGGACCTGCATTTTCCCTTCAACAAGTTAAGAGTTTCCTTGCTCAAAAAAGGAAAAAGAATTGATGCATGCACATTGGCTTGGACGGCCACAAACAGAAGCAACAGCACCAATGCTAAAATAGTAAGACCCAGTCATAAAAAGAGGTGCACAACCTCACTTTCTGTAACGAGAGTAAAATAATTTCCAAGACAATACAGTACTTCATTTTCAGGGAC